CCACCTCTTTCACAGGAATGGTGATTTATAAAGGAGGAAAGTAACTTTACTTTATGAAATTTATAAAGCAGAGTTACAGCAAACCCCTACCACCCACCATGAAAGCTGGAACGCCCACTAGTGGACGGTAGGGACCAGGTTGACTACCACTGGGCTAGACTAAAGATTTCGGAAGTGGTTTTACCCTTGCTTTCTTCCTAAAGCTGAGAGAGGTTGACTGGCCCAAAGTCACCCAGTTGGTTTTGTGGCTAAGACAGAGATAGAACAAAACTGACAGTCTCCTGGTTTGTAGCCTGGTGCCTTAACCACTACAACAAACTATCTCCCAATAAGGAAATTGGATGGATGGATGGATGGATGGATGGATGGATGGATGGATGGATGGATGGATGGATGGATGGATGAATATCCACCCAAAAAGTCCATACCTCTTAAATTATTTCCATTCATTTCTTCTTGAAATGAAACTTTGTCCTGCTCCATGCCAAGAATTTATGAGGTATAAACTTTTCAGGTGATTTGCCTTTATTCAACCCACACTTAGTAAATGAGAGTGTGGGAGTGAATGAGAGAGACAAAGGGAATTATATCTTTATGTCTATGTGCTCATATGTAAAAAATCAAAAATTGCATATCCTCATCTGCATTCATTATGTCAGGTTTGTAAACCTGAGTCCTCAGAGCTGGGTGTGTCCCTCAAATCTTTGGGTCTGCCCCCCTTGTCCAAAAACTGCTACCAAACTGTTATTTAGGGGGGATAAAAGAGAATCCTAACTCATTCAGTATATGAGTGAATGTTATCACCTACATTTCTTTGGAAACATACTAATCGTTTCTTTTTTCCCTTTTCTGGCATGCAATCACCGCACACCACTCATTAAGGGTTATGCACTCCTGATATTTTCCAGCTTAACCTGGCAAGCTATGTGGCACTTAAGGCTGAAAAAATTGCCTGCCTGGGCAATTTGGGATTGGATTAATAAAGTTTAATTTTAAGGTACCACTCAGTAGTTAATAGGCACTGCAGTTTTCCATTTCACATTTACTTGTTAAATCCGTACCCTGTACTTTCACTGAAAAGCGGAACTCCAGCTAGATAATATGAACAAAATGAACAGAATAGAAACAAAAAGAATAAATAATGTATTACAAAAAAAGTAGACTTCTTAAAAAGCACATTGGTGAAATAGATCACATCCAAGACAAATGTACTGTAGTAAACTTCAAGCTCATATTTTCATTCTTCTTTTGTATGCCATAGGAGATGACATCTGGTTTTAAATTAACCAAAGCTCGCTTGGTATCTAAATTGTTAGGCTGGTTTGAAAGGATGGTCTGATAATGTTGGAGGACTTTATATTTTCTTCCTGGTAATCTAATTTATTGAAATGCTGAGGAGAGATGGCTGTTTTCTAGTGGACTGTAAATGCATCACTGCACTCATCTTTTTTTCCATGACTACGATGAGTCACATGGCCAGAGTTGATTTGCATGGATATCTACTGTGCAGCATTTCATTTTTTACAAGCCAGGAAAGTTTAGTCAATCCAACTGTCTGACAGTGGCATTGTGTATTACTTTTTTAAATGTGTTTTAGTTAGCTGTCACTGAAAATACCAAAAAAACTTGTCAATACCTGACAGCATGTGGAGAAGAGGTTTGTGTAGAAAGTTGTGTTTTCAGAAGAACACCTAAAATAGGGATGGACAATATATGACCCTCCAAAGGTTGTTGGCTACAAGGTCCCATCAGTTTTCAGAAATCAATCAATCAGAATAAACCTGGAAGGGAGCTCGAAGGTCTTCTAGTCCAACCCCCTGCTCAAGCAGAAGACCCTGTACCAGAGGTGCTATTCAGCTAGTTCTCACAGGTTCTGGAGAAGCGGTAGCGGAAATTTTAAGAGTTGGGGGTAGGTGGGGATTTTGCAGTATCCTTCCCTGCCACATCCACGAAGCCATGCCTAAAGAACCGGTCATAAAAACTTCAGAAAATAGGTTGACACCCTCTTCTTTGGCAGCCCCTCAAATACTGGAATACTGTTATCATGTTACCCCTAATCCTTCTTTTCTCTAGGTTGACCATACCCAATCTCTGCTATCATTCTTTTTTTTTTTATCTACAGGCCAACAATTATCTTACTTGCTCTTTGCACTTTTTCCAAAGTCTCAACATCTTTGTTGTAATGTGATCAAAACTGAATGCAGCATACTTACTAAGGCTTTATAAAGTGGTGCTAATACTCCATATGATTTTGATTCTATGCCTCTGTTTATACAACCAAGGATTATACAGTATTAGCTTTTTTTTGGCTGCTGCCACATATTACTGGCTCATGTTTAAGTGATCGTCCACTAGGACTCCAAAATCCCTCCCACAGTTACTATTTTTGAGCCAGGTTTCCATGTTGATGTAAATTGGGAATTCAGCAGCATTTGGAGAGTCACAATATCACTTTTATTCTTATTTCACATCACATGTGTAACACCATATACTATATGTGGGTATATGCATAATTTTGCATTTATTTGTTTGTTTGTTTGTTTAGTCAAGTTTATGTAGAGTATATTAGAGGTATGTATGTATGCAACAAAAATTCATTTTAACTTTCATATAATGTATGCTGATTAGTGTACATTCAAAGTGAAAATAAAGTTTTTCTAAGTCTAAAGTTATTTTAAGTCTGGTTTTGCATTATCTTGCTTTTTGGGTATGCACAATTATTTGAATCATAAATTTTACAAATAAGTTGGACTTGCACAACATGCTAAGGAAATAAAATAAGTAAAAATTAAGACTAACCAGGCTTAGTGTCTTGTAGATGTGCAGCCACGAAGTCTTAAGTGTGTTATGCAAACATAGCCAGTACATTCATAATTAAATTGTACTTGATGTAGCCTTTTGAAATTTAAAAGCCTTCAGAAACTCAAGCCTGTTGTTTCTTGATTTCAAGGGGCTTACTCAAGGGACTAGAAACTAGTCCACTGGATTTACTTTTTTTTTTAAGTGGAAAGGGTTGAATGAAGTGCAACTGCTATTTTTGGCTTTGCTTCCTGGATTTATTGCTGTCAGAGTGATGTGAACAGATTTGGCTTCTTTTCTCAGCGAAAGAACATTTGTATGAATGATTAAGTAGCTCTGCATTGTATCTTAGTTTGTTGTTGCAAGTTCCGTAATCTCTGATGCAAAAATCTAGATCAGTGATGGCTAAGCTTTTCGTTGGGGTGTGCTGAAAGCACGTGTGCGCACACATGACAGTGCATGTGCGTGTCCACACCCATAATGCAATGTGCATGGAACCCCCCCTGCCTGGCCCTTTTCTGCACATGCACACGTGATTCCCGTGCTCCACCCACTCTTCAACGCATGTGCAGGTGACCCCCCTGCGCTCCAAATCCCCCCCCCACGCATGCATGTGCAACACCACCACCACCACGCCCCATTTTGGGCCTAGTAGGTGTCCCTGCAGCCTCCTGGGAGCAAAAACAGGCTGTGGGGAGGTGCACCACACCCTTCCATGTTCCCTCCACCCATGTATGCGTGCATGTCCCAGACACATGTGCATGCACTTTCTGCATGCGCCCCACCCCTGCGCATGTGTGGCAGAAATCTAAAAACCAGCTGGCCGGCAGGAGGCATGCGTTCATGCACAGTGGAGCTGACCTGAGATGATGGGTCGTGTGCCTGCAGAGAGGGCTCTGTGTGCCACCTGTGGTAGGCGTGCCATAGGTTTGCCATCATAGATCTAGAACATCAGAGCAGTAAAATAATTTAACTGGATTTATTGGGTATATTTCTCAGTTCTCATAGATATCCCTGAAAACTAGAGGGGGGTGGGAATCAACCTCAAAGCAACATGAAAACTAGTTCTCACTACATGTCTTTTAATTTCATTACCAAAGGCCGGCCTCCACCTCGGGGATCCAAACTCAATGCAAGTGGACAGATGAAGCCAATGGCCCCTCTAGATCGGATATATCAAGAGATAGCAATTTTGAAGAAGTTGGACCATATCAACATTGTCAAGTTGATTGAGGTTTGTTTGCTTGTGTTCTGTGCATGAGGTAGGTTGGGATTTTCCAAAACTCCCTTTAATTGAATTTCTTCCTGGATTTTCAAACTCTGGATTTTCTTACATTTCGGTTTCAAAGTGAGCCTGATAGATCAAGGCTTCTTCATTCTTATTTTTATTTTTGCTATTGGTTTTCCTTTCGAATTTTGCATGGAAGATTATGAATGAACAGTTTGCCCAGATTTCAGCATCTTGTGACCTCCTCATAGTTCCCATCTAGTCCTAACAAAACTTGAGTAAAGTCTGGGAAAATAAACAAGAATCTTCAATAAAGTTGATTGATGCTAGCAGGGGTTGTTTGATAAAGCAACCTTTTTAAAGGAGTTTTTTTTCTTTTCACTTTTTAAAATAGTCACCACTTACAGTTGTCTGGCTTGTGTTCTAAAGGCAAAAGTGAAGACAGTTGTTCCTGGTTATGCCTTTTCTGGCTATTATACTATTTCGGGCCCTTTTGCAAGTAATCCTTGCTTACCAACTGTTTCATTCAGCAACTGTTCAAAGTTACAATGGTGCTGAATAAATAATATTGCGATGAATGCCTGCATTTACAACCTTTGCAACATTAGACATATGATTGCTATTATAGTCAGTACATGCTATTTTGTGCCTGAACTGTTGTTTTCTTTGCCCCGACCCTCCCATGCAGAGTGCAGAGATTGGAGTAGAAGAGATTAAAACAGAGTAAGCAGGTGCATAATGGGGAATACACATTGGAAGAAATCTGACAGCTCTGAGCATGCAACTGGTATATATCTCCCCTTGTGTGCCTGCTTACTCTCTTGTAATCCCTCTCTTGCTTTATGTGGGGGGAGGGAGAAAAAAATTATAGGCAACGTCTCCTGGGTCTGACCTCCTCCACAGATCATAGAGATTGGAGAGGAAGGCATTATTAGAGAGTAAGGAGGCATACAGTGGGGAATACACTCAGTTGTTTGTATAGTGTGCTTGCAACTGCCAGCCAGAGGTGGGATTCTACCGGTTCAGACAAACCAGTAGCTCTGACTATCAGCTGGGAGCGAACCAGTTCACTCTGATTTCAGATGGGCACGTTCACCCACCCCTGTGCTAAAGTCACCTATATTCCAGAGGTGAGTTCCTACCAGTTTGGACTGGTTTGGGCGATTAGGTAGTAACTTGGCTTGCCACGCCCCCGAACCGGTTCTTTTGGCGGCGCCTATGGCGGCACCATTTTGTTTTTCGCTTCTAAGCATGCACAGAAGCATTTGTTTTCCATACTGCGCATGCACACGCTCAGCAGACTAGTTGTTAAACCAGTAGGATCCCACCCCTGCTGCCAGCCCTGATTGTACTTAGGATCGCCAGCACTACTTCTGATGTTTATTCCCCATTGCGGATTTGCTTACTCTCTTGAAATCCCTTACTCTGCAATGAATGTAAATACAAAACATTATTTCCCTTCTTACTAATTATCCAGTATTGGAGTGAGCATTCCAAAGGGCAGAGGAATGAGGAGTGGGAGTCATATGATTTCCAACTTGGTGACCTCTTTGGTTAACGACAGATGTACTGGTCCCAACTGCCATTGCCAAACAAGGGCTATCTATTTGCCAAGTAATTTTTAAAAAGCTTTGAATGCCACTGTGTTCACGTCTTTAGGGAATAAATAACAGAAAGGCAGCAGGAAAGGGAAGCCAGAGACTGGAGCAATGATGGCTAAGCTTTTTCCCATCGTGTGCCAAAAATGGGGGGAGTGCAGGGGGGGGTCGTACGTGGGTGTGCCCTCACCCATAATGCTGTGCATGTGACCCTCGCCCTCCCCCCCCCTGCTTTTGGCATGTGATGGACCCGTTTTTCGCCCTCCCCAGGCTCCAGAGGCTTTCTAGGAGCCTGGGGAGGGAGAAAACAGCCTCCCCACCCCCTCCCCTGGAG